GTCTTGGCCCAGTACCAGTCATCTAAATTGGGCTGAGCCGGTTTTCATTCTTCCCACATCTGATTGTTTCTCCCTAGGGGCTGAAAAGGCTAAGGACCTCTGTGCAAAGCCTTTGGTGAGGTTGAATGGACTGGAGGAGGAGGGGCCAAGCACCAGCCCGCCGGCTGTGGCCACAGCCCCACTCTCTGCCACAGCTGTGCGGTTTACATTAGCTGAATTTATGGCAACACACTCGCAATTAGAGGGGAAAGGATGGATTTCTATTTTATGTTTATGGGTGCTTTGCCTACACACGTGTCCATGAGTCATGGGTGCCTGCAGAGGTCAGAAGAGGGCCTCAGGCCTTCGGATTGCCTAGAACTGGGGTCGTGGATAAATGTGGGTTCTGGGAATCAAATCCAGGGCCTCTGGAAGCGCAGCCAGTGATCTTGACTACTGAGTCATCTCTCCAGCCCTCTGAACTAAAAAGCAGAACAAACAAACATGCAGAAACCACCTTGAATGTGCACTAGAGACCATCTGGCCAGAGACAGCTGTGAAATTATAACCTGTATAAAAGCCACCTTCGCTCTCCACTGTCATCGGAACCAGAGCATGGCTCTTGAAAAGGCAGAAAGTGTACGTCTTCATAATGTGGCTTTTACTATGATTGTGGTCTGGAGTCTGAGGGTCCAGGGAGACAGTCTCCACGTGAAAACTCACTTCGGTAGTTCTGAAAAGCAGCATGGAGCTAGCTAGTGTGCCCGGCCCTTCACCCTTCCATGTTTTGTTTCGTCGGAGAACGCACTTTGCCTGTGTTCATTTCTAACATTCTAATGCGTGTTAGACTTTATTGTTTTAGAGCAATTTCAGGTTTGTGCTAAGTTCCCACCTACCCCTGCTGCCACACCAGTGACTGTCCCCATTATTGCTATGTCTCACTAGGATGCTGCATTTGGTACTGTTGGGCCCATCGTTATCAAAAAGGCAATAGCTAATCAGGGTTCACTCCCCCTCATCAATTCTAGGGATTGAATCTACGGATAACCAAGTCACATCCCAGCCCCTCACTGGGGATTCTAGGCAGGGGCTCTACCACTGAGCCACACCCCAGCCCCTCACTGGGGGATTCTAGGCAGGGGCTCCACCACTGAGCCACATCCCAGCCCCTCACTGGGGGATTTTAGGCAGGAGCTCTAGAGGAACCCAACTCAGGGTTGTCCTCTGGCCTCTGCATGCTTAAGATAGAATATTCTCTCTAAGAACACGAGTTTTGTCTTATTTTACACACACTCAGAAGTAGTCCAGGCTGGACCAACTTTTCTATTCTTCCACCCAAACATAATAATATCTGACTAGATTTGGTGGTTGGGGGAGGGGAGACCTCATCCCATTTTTCAGAGGGGCTTTCATGGAGCTGGACAGAGGTAGAATTCCAAAACAGCGAGGTTTCGAGATGGGTGCGTGGGCATCGTACATGCAGATAAAGAAGCCCGGCTGTCAAATGCATCATTAGAAAAGGGAGTGTGTATAGTCCAGGCCAAGTGGAGTCCTACGTTGCTAAGCTATTCCCTACGCTTGTCTACCTTAGTTTGACTTGATGATGGTAGTAAAAGAATATGCATTTAGTAGAAGTCAGATTTGGATTAATTTTTTTGTTGTTGTTCTCTTTGACAAGGTCTTAGTATGTAGCTTTGGCTGGCCTGAAACTCAGAGATCTACCTGTCTCTCAAGTGCTAGGATTAAAGGCCTGTGTGTATGCTACCATGGGCAGTCCATACTTAGAATGGTTATTTTTTTTTATTATTTCCTGGGTCATAGTGTAAGAAATATCAAACATGAGTCTTTTCTATCAAGTACTATGAAACTTGTGTTTAGGATATGGAATTTAAACTTGTGTCCCTAATACCTTGTAAGACTTCTATGCTAATATCTTAATTCTACACAAAAGCTCAGTGCTGCATTCCAGGGATCTGGTGGTCAGGACCACCTTTTCCTGTGATCCCTTTCCCTGGTCTTCTGCTCACCAATTCTTTTCAGACTACTCAACCGAACGAAGACTGTAAGTGAGACTCAGCCCATGGGGAAAAGACACAGCCACTCCCCGAATTACAACAAAAACCAAAGGGACTTCCTGTTTCTGTGTCGACCTTCGGAGCATGCTCTCTTGGTCAAGAGTAAAGTTTGCTTGTCCAGTTACTTCAGCTGGAGCTGTGCTCTCTTATTTTGTGACCCCAAACTTACTTCTAACAACTGGAGATCAATCCCCTCTCCTCATGCTGGGTGGTGGGTGAAGAGACCTAACTTAGCATCAGTGCAGCCATGACAGGCTGCAGACTAGCATTACTGGGACTTGGCCTCACCCTTACAATAACCAGGAAAAGCTACAAACTGTACCCTGAGGGGGACTAATCAGAATTGAGATAAGCAAGTACTAGATGCTCCAGAACATCAAGAACAGCTTCCCTAACTTGTACATAGGTCGCCAATTTCCTTACAGCAACGCCAATCCCTGTTTGACAAGACTCCTGCTACCCTGCTCCTGCCCAGTCAGGAATCCGGATTTCCCCCATCCTTTGCTCCTTAAAAGCCCTGCCACAGCTGAGCTCCGTGCCCCCCCTGACCAGCTGAGCTCAGTGCTCCCCCTGACCAGCTGAGCTCAGTGCTCTCCCTGACCCAACCACTGTGTTGGAACAGAAGAACCCAGGCTCGAGCTAGCAATAAGGGCTCTTTGCTTTGGCGTACAAACTCTGACTCCTGGTGGTCTCTGGGGCGCTCACGACACAGGCACAATTGTGGGGACTTCGTGACCTGGTTAAAATGATTTGACAGGGTCTCTTGTAGTGCAGGCTGGCCCCAATCTCTCAAGGATGATCTTGGCTCTCATTCTCCTGTTTTTAAACACAGGGATTAAGTCCCAGGTTCTTTCCCTCTGCAGTGTTCTGGCCCCTTGCAGATCCCACCTCACCTGGGTGCTGCCTCAACCACACTCTCCAAAACACACACTCTTCAAATACTGTGATGAGGCTGATCTAAAACATAATTCAAAATGCATTGAGTTTAATGGACTGGATGTCACAACATAGTGAAACCTTCCCTATGCTGTAAAGTACAGTTATCTCCAGTACAGATGTGGACCTGATCACTGTTACCCAGGTGTGTAAGGGCCAAAATAGCCCCCCAATGACAGTGCTGGTAACAATATCCTGAACAGAAGGACTGCTGTTGGGTAAAGAGAAGCCTAAAGGTGGGCTCGTTTAACAGGAACCTCCCTTACTCTGCCCTCCAAGGTCTGCCTGTGGCTAGGGCATCTGGCTCTGGGTCAGTCCTGAAAGACCTGGACCCACTCAGAGATTCCATCCTGCGGTCATACAGAATCTGCTTGCTTTTCACCTCTGCCCACCCCAAGCCTGGGAGGAAACAGCCTTGGCAGCTTGATCTCCAGGAAACGACCCTGGGGATGATCTGGTTTGGTGGATTCACTGTAGCTCCTCTTACAATGGGGCAGGCTAGTTTGTAAAGCCCCTTCATTTGGTTAAACTTTTGCCAGTTTCTGAAGCTTACAATAGCTTGGCTTCCAGAACTAAGGTAACTCGTTTTTCCAGATTCTGATGGACCCACCCTCATAGCTGATGTAGACAGCTTGACAATCCAGACTGTGGGTATTCATCAGTTACATGGTCCAGAACCTCTCCTTTCCTGTAAAACCCCTAAGAAGGAACCCAGACTTAGCCACATGGACCTGAGCTGTCCTCAGAGCCCCCATCAGGCTGTTGTCTGTCTGTGACATTAACAACTTCTGTAATATACCTGGGGTTGGAGAGATGGGTGAGAGATTAATGTCATTTGCTACTCTTCCAGAGTGGCTCCCAGCTGTATCTAACTGCAATTCTAGATCTGATGCCCTCTTCTGGTCTCTGCAGGTACTGCACACACACAATGCACAGACATACACATAGACAAAATACTCATACACATAAAATTAAAAGCAAATGAGTTCAAGGCCAGCCTGGTCTACATAGCAAGTTCCAGTACAGGCTTCAAAGCTACCTAGGGAAACCCTGTTCTGAAAAACAAAACAAAACAAAAACAATAAATTAATAAATCTTGCTGGGCAGTGGTGGTGCACGCCTTTAATCCTAGCACTCAAGAGGCAGAAGATCTTAATGAGTTTGAGGCTAGCCTGGTCTACAAAGCGAGTTCCATGATAGCTAGAGAAACCCTATCTTGAAAAACAAACAAACAAAAAATCCCAAACAACAAATAAATAAACAAATCTCCTACCTAAAAAGAAAATTTGGGGGTTGCAGAGATATATCCATGATTAAAACTGAGCGCTGTTCTTATAGAGGACCTGAATTCAGTTCCTAGCAGGAGGTGGAGGTAGGAGGATCAGAAGTTCAAGGTCATGGTTGACTAGACAGAGGTTTGAAGCCAGCCTAGGCTATGCAAGATCTTGCCTCAAAAACAAAACCAAGACCTGAAAGAAGCTGGGTATGTGTGACCTATAATGCTACCATTTGGGAATCTCAGGAAGAAGGATTCTCATGAGTTCCAGGCCAGCCATACCATATCAAGACTCTGTCTGATAAAAAGATCAAAATAATTGGCTGCCTAGATGGTTCTGTGGGAAAAGGTGCCGGCCACCAGGCCAGAGAGCCTTAGTTGGGTCCCTGGGGTGTACAGAGTGGGAAGAACTGGTTCCTTCAAGCTCCTCTGAGCTCTACATGCTTGCTACGGTGAACATGCACCTCCGCCAAGCACAGAAAGCATGTGTGCTCATGGGCATGCACACGCACACGTACACACATATACACCACACACATACATACCACACACGTACACATACCACACACACATGCAACAGAGGCAGGTGAACGCAGCTGAGGCCAGGCTGACCTATACAGTGAGTTCCAGGCTAGCTAGGGCTACATAGTGAGACCATGTCTCAAAACAGCAATAACAATACAACAAATCATAAAAAAGACCACAACAAAGAAAAAGATATGAACCAGTTTAGGTAAAATAATCAATTTATTACAGTGCAGTTGGCAGACAGATATTGCCGGTATATTATTCTCTCACTGTTTGAGAAAATGATAAATAACTTTAAATATTACACAATTACAGAGGTCCCTGAGGATCAGGGCCGGGGCTCTAGGCCCTTCTTCATTGTTTGGGGCAGATACCCCCTTTAATGAGGAGACCTGGGTGTAGCCATGTGCGCTTGGGTTCACAAGTGAGTTGGAATTTTGCTAGCCGTTAAGTTCAGACATGAGCGGAGGGCGTCAGTGAAGGGACAACGCAAGTCCCTGAGGCAGAAACAGGGGGACAAGGAGGCAATACTGGGGATGCTTCTTGGTTGGTAGACTATACGCTTGGCTTGCACTAAGCCCCTGCTCGCCCCAGCACCGCACAAGCCTGGGAGGTCCTGGTGCATGCCTGCACTCCCAGCGCTGAGTGACAAGGGCAGGAGGCTAGCGTCATCCTTGGTTTTCAGCTGGGATACCCGAGACCCTGCCTCAGAAAAAGGCTGGGGATCAGTACTGAGGACAGGGCAGCGAGAGACTGAACCGAAACAGAGCAGCTTGTGACCTCCTTGAGACGAGCATGCGCCCAGCACCCCGCTCTACCCAAGCAGACTGAAACAGAGGCAGCTTGTGACCTCCTTGAGATGAGCATGCGCCTGACACCCTGCTCTACAAGCAGCAGCAGTGGGCAGAGCTGATGGAGGACTCCAGTGTTCGAGACTCTGAGCGTGGCCAAGCAGGAGCCTCCACTGATCCCAAAGTGACATGTGCCAGGAAGGTTTGAGCGCTTGATTCGTGAAGGATTCCAGTCAGCAGCCCCAGCTCCTGGAAGGCACAGTCAGGCTGTCTTGTCAAAACGGTGGTGGCCTTTGACTAGGACTGACAGACTTGCACAATCACGCTGGAGTTGGTCACTCTGGCCCCATAGTGGCCAGCCCAGAACTGTGTGTCCTGGCCCCAGTGTTCGAAAGACACAAAACGGACACCCCTCCTGATGTTGGAGAACACATGGCTGACCTGGAGGCAGAAGGAGACAGTCAGTCTGTGTCACAGTCCTCCCGGCCACAGCGCTTTCCCAGATGGCGGCCATGTCGCTGCCTAGTCCCCTTCTTCTGAAATCTTGCCATGCTCTCATTAACAGGTGGAATCTAAGGGTAGGTGTGTGACAAGTCCCTGTCATCATGGGTGACTGAGGCAGGAGGATGGCCTAGGCTGCACAGTGGGGTCCAGGACAGTTGGGTTATATAGCAAGAAACTGTAGCAAAAAGAAACAAACAAAAACCTAACCAAATAAAAGAGGTTTTATCAGCAAGAATGTGGCAGAAATTCTAGGTGTGGCTGTGCACATCTGCCATTATTCCCAGCATTTGGGAGACGGAAGGAGCGCAAGGCTAGCCTCAGCTACATAGTGAGTTTGAGGCCAGCCTGGGCTACATAAGGCCATGTCTCAAAAAGAGAGTTACAGAAGTGACCTTGAGTGGGCTTATTGAGTGACCTCCCAAACTAGATCAGAACAGGCCAAATGCCTGAAGCTTATGTCTCCTGGCCCCCTAACCGCCATGGAAGAAGTCTGCCTGCCCTGGGGCAGCCATGATGTGAGGAGTCTCAGTGCAGACTGGCCCAGAGATCTCATGGAGGGGATCTTTCACATCATGGCTGCCCCAGGCCTGCAGACTGCCGGTTGTCATGGTCACCCACCGCCACCAGCCCTTCAGCTCGTGTCACAGTCTGAGAGCTATTGTTGGGCCAAGAGACACTTCAGCCAGACCTGCCCAGCCCAGCTTTCTCCACGTCCTGGCAGGGCAGGGCTAGGGAAATGGTTCCGTTGATAATGGGCCTGGCACACAAGCATAAGGGATCTGAGTTCAGATCCCCAGCACCCAGGTCCATGCTGGCTGTGCTGGCATATCTCTGACTCTAGTGCCGGGGGCAGACAGGCGGCTCCAGCTTGTCAGCCAGACAGCTAGCCAATCAATGAGCTCCTTGGCAGTGAGTGAGCTCCTTGGCCGTCTCAAAAACTAAGGTGGAGGATTCTAGAAAGACATATGGCATCCATCTCTCTGCCTTCCACATATCAAGGACACAGACAGGCATAGCCCCCCCATACACACGCACGCACGCACGCACGCACGCACACTCACACACATACATACACACACACTAAAACACAAAGACGAGAGACAGTAAAATGACTGCAACTGGTCATGCAGCTCTAACTGTGGCGACGGGACCATCCCAGTCCCCACCACCCCTTCCCCACCCAGTGAGCGGCTCGTCTTTGGGCAGAGGCTCACCTGCAGGTAGATATTGTTGTTCCATTGTTCAATGGGGTCTGGCACAGCCGAGAACTTATCTAGGACGTTCTGGTGAGCATCAAGAAGCTTAACAAGGAGACGATACCTACAGCCACTGTCGTGTCGAGCTCCCCACCTGTGGGAAGGGGAGGTCTGAATGTGTCACCTCTTTCTGATGTAGCTGGCCTCCCTGTGGGTACAAATTAAGTTCCTCAAAGGGGTCTTTGGCGGCTGGCAAGACTGCTAAATCAGAAAAGTGCTTGCCACAGAAGGAAGAGGACCTGGGTTTGAACCCCAGAAATCATGGAAGAGCTGGGTGTTAAACCAGATGGTGGTGTTGCGTGCCCTTAATCCCAGCATTTGCCCTTAATCCCAGCACTTGGGAGGCAGAGGCAGGCAGATTTTCAAGTATAAGGCTAGCCTGGTTTACACAGCAAGTTTCAGGATAGCCAGGGCTACACGGAGAAACCCTGTCATGAGCCCCCTCTCCCCCACACCAAAAAAAGCTGGGTGTTGCCAGATATGTTAGCACACAGATTTAAACTCTCTGTATGCAGAAGTAAGTGGATCTCTGTGAGTTTGAGGCCAGTCTGGCCTACAGAGACCTCCAGGTCAGCCAGGGTTACACAGGGAGACCCTGTCTCAGAAGAAAAAGAAAAAGCCGAAAAGCCAGAAAGAGTGATACATGCTTCTAACCCCAACGTCGGGCAGGCAGAGGCAGGTGGACCACTCCTAAGGAATGCTACTAGGCTGGCCTCTCCCCTCCACCAGAGGCGCACACACAGAATCTGCTCTGAGTCCAGATCTTTTGAGATGCGCCTGCTGACTTCGAGGAGTAGTAATTCCAGTTGTCACTGAGGCTGATACGGGAGTCTCAAGGCTAAGACCAGCCCGGGCACCTTGGTGAGACTGTGCCTCAAAATTAAACTAAAAAGAGACCTGGCACACGTGGCTTAGTGTTGGAGGCGTCTCCTGGCACGCACGAGGCCCTGGGTTTGATCCCCAGTTCCTGTTCTAGTCTCTGCCCCCAATAAAATGGCCTTGGGAAGATGATCTCTGGGCGTTTGTGAAGCCATGCCTGCCAGGAGTGTCTCTATTGGAGACTCCAGTCCTACCAAACAGTCCACCAGACAGGATAAAGGTTAGTCCTGCCATGGATAGGCGTGGGTGCCACCTTAGAAAGATCCATAAAGCAATTTAGAGCTGTCCGTGAATGTCACTTCACCCGGGGGCTGTGGTTAACCACGTGGGCAAGCAGTTAATTGGTCAGGCATTCTATGAAACGCCAATAAAAATTGTGTACAGGGAGTTGGCGCTGTTCCAGGCATCTTAAGACACAGGACTATCAGGCCGGTAACACTTGACCCCTGGGAAAGAGGCCATGTGATCAAGGCTCCACAAGGGGACCCACACTTTCACACTTACAAGGCCCTAGCTGTGTTTCATGTGAACTCATTTTATTTAAGGTCTTTTTGGTTGTTGTTATTTATTTATTAGACAAGGTGTTGTTATTATTTATTTATTAGACAAGGTGTTGTTATTTAGCCTATGCTGGTCTTAAATTCACCTGTGCTGTCCTGGGATTGACCACGCTCCTTTTGCTTCATTGTCCTAATTGCTGGGATTACAAGAGTGTGCCATGGCACCCCAGGGTTTAGCGAATGACTCTCCCTGTCCCCAGACTCACCAGTCAGAGACGGCAATCTCCACACCGCCACTGTCCAGCAGCTCTGGCCACAGACCCTTCTCCTCCAGGTCCACGACCTGCTTCTTGCGACACCAGCTAGGAAGGCGGGAGAGAGAGGTCATGAGAACAGGCAGGCCTTTCTCAACGAGGGCTCTGGCCCTTGGGGAATGGGGCTTCTACCTGAAGGAAGTCACGAAGCAGGTCTGCGAGGGGGCGCCAGGCACAGGCTTCATGTTCTTCTCCACCACCCAGCCATCTCCGCCGTGCTGCACCATCCACTTGCGCAGGCCTTCTGTAAAGTAAAGCAAGGCTTAGGGAGGGCGACCACAGAACCAGGGAAACTGAGGCATTAGGACTGATGTCAAATTCAAGCACCCCCCCCCATCCGTCACAGTCTGAAATGGATTAAGAATTCATGACTGTACAAGCTTGGCCTATGACTGCCCCTACCTGTGCCGTGACCCTTGAGTCGAGCCCTTTCGTACACACTACAATAATTTTAAGAAGTTAAAAATGTATGTCTGTGTACCATGTATATGCCTGGTACCTTGGGAGCCCAAAACAGAGGCCAGAAGAGGAAGTGGGACCTCTCTTGGACTCCTGGAGTTACAAATGGTTGTGAGCCTCCGGGTGAGTGTTAAGAACTGAATTCAATTTTTCCTTTTCTCAATTAAAAAAAAAAAAAGAACTGAATTCAGGTCCTACAGAGGGACAACCAGTACTCTTAACCGCCATCTGTCCAGCCCACAAATAACAACAACAAAACCTACTAAAAACATTCAAAGGTAAGAGTTGCCAGAGGACCTAAAATACATTCCCAGCTCCCAATTCCAGAGGCAATGTTTTTCTTTTGACCTCCAACAAGTACACATATACGTTAATGAAAATACATTTAATAAATGCAAAAGTCAAACAAAATATATTTATGTACCAATTTTAATTGCTCATCATTGGCTCCCAGGATAAGGAGTTCGTTCCCCTCCCAAGCTCCCTTATGGTTGGTCAGGTCCTTCCAGTCACTCTAACTGGGTCAAGTGTGACCTCACTTCTAGCCCCTCCCTCTGCTTTCTTGCCCTACCTGTCCCTTAGGCCCCGCCCATTACATATCTTGTGACTCCGCCCTAGCCCCTTTCACTGGTTCCCCTGTGGCTCACTCCTCCGGACCTCCTATAGGTTTTCTTGGGGCCCTGCCCTGCATACTCCCCCATCTGGCCCACTGTGATCCCGCCCCCATCCTTTCCCATTGGTTCACTTATGACCACGCCCTCACCCCCATCCACAATTATCCTGTGACTCCGCTCCTCATCCTCTCTCATGGATGCTCGCTCCTTCGTGGAGCCTCCCCCTCATGCCCACCCATCGCTTATCTTGTGACTCCGCCCTTCATCTCTTCCGGTGGATTCTCTCGTGGCCCCGCCCTTCACCTTGAGCAATGGTTCTCTCCTGGCCCCGCCCTAGCAGCACTTTCGGGGCTCCTCACCTTGACCGCAGGGGTTGCTGATGAGGTTACGTCCAAGCGGTCCTCGCAAGCAGAACTGACCCAGCGGACAGGGCCTGTCTTCGCGGGCCGGGGGCAGGCAGCGGCGGGCTAGCGTCAACAGGGCGCGGCCGGCAGCGCTGCGGTCCCGGGCCAGCACCATGAGCCACAGGGCCTGGCCGTCCACCAGGGCACGCCAGGCACGGCACACCCGGCGACAGTGCAGCAGCAGTGCACGCGGGGGCACGTGACTCAGCACCAGCAGGAGCAGCTCCGGGGGCAGACGGCTCAGGTCTAGCGTCTCCCGTGGATCGAGCTCCGGCGTGGGGACCCGGGCCCTGGAAGTCCAGGAACCCATGGTCCCCGTGCCCCGCCTGGTTGGGACTGCAGGAGAGGAGGGGGTCAGATGTCAGTGACCAGAAGCCTCCGCGACGCGCAGCTTCTGCTGCCCTGCTTTGCAGCCGCGCGCCCCGAGATGCCCCAAAGCCATCCGCTGCCTCCCACGTCCCCTCGCCGCCTCGCTGTCCCCAAGCCTACTCCCACCCCGCAGCTGCCACCCCATCCGAGCCCGCTGACGCTCACCAGCACCCCTGCCAGCTCCCCTCCGCGGCCTGGAGGACCGCATAGCCCTAGCCCTGCTAACGCCGCCGTTGTTGCCAGGTGGGACCTCTCTGAGACTCGCCGGCCTCTCATTTCCTAAAGTCCCAGCCCTTCCAGACCCCACCTCCTTCCTGCTGAGGAACCGTGGGAATCCAACTGATAACACAGACTGTGCCGGGCTCTGGGGTAGTTCTAGCGAGCCTGCAACAATCCGCTACTTGGAATGACCCTAAATCCGCAGTAGAAGCCTGGCATCTGGCAATAACTATTATTTTGGCTAGGCTTCCTAGTGGGAGGCTCCACCCCTAAACGCCTTGAGCCAGTCACCTTTAATGTCAAACATAATCATTCGTGATTTACAGGAAAAGGCAGGCTTTAGAGGAGGAAAATACCCCCCCCAACCGAAAGCAGCAGATAAAGTTTTCTGTTTCCCTTTGCCAAGTTAGCGCATCTCTGCCCTCACATCACAGGAGAGAACGCTGAGGCTCGCAGAGGCCAAGTGGCCTCGCGAAGTGACCGCCCAGCTAGTAGGTGCACATGGTTTTTTCCTTTGAGACAGTATCTCGCTTTGTAGGCCTGGCTGGCCTGGAACTCACTGTGGCAAACTCACAGAGAGACCTGCCTGCCTCTGCTTTAGGAGTACTGGAACTAAAGGCATGTATGACCGGCTTTTTAAAAATTACTTTTCATTTTTTTTATTTGTATGGGTGTTTTGCCTGCGTTTATGTCTCTGCCATTTTTGTGCCTGGTGCCTGGGTTGGCTAGAGGGGACATCATCGGGATACCCTGGACCTGGGGGACTGTGAGCTCCTATGTGAATGCATAGAACCCAGCTCCTCTTAGAAGAACAGCCAAAGTCAGCACGCCAGCCCTGGTTTGCAGCTGAGTCCCAGGTAGGGCCCATGCTGTCCTGGAGCTCACTTTGTAGCGGAGCGAGCCTTGACTCTGAACCTCTGCCTCTGGAAGGCTGGAGCTCCAGGCAAGCACCCTAGACCCTGCTAGCAGAATCTCTTCTTCCCATCAGTCTATCAGCTCTGTGGAATGCAGATGTATGCAGAGATATATGAGTCATGTGCTCCCTAGTGAATGTCAACAAATAAAACTGAACCTGGCTTCCTGCACACACTGAGCTTGCTTTGTGGGGGGAGAGGCGTGACCAACAAAATAAGTAGATACAATAGACAGCCTGTGTGTATGTGTTCATGGCAACATTGTTATGTCCAAAGTGGTCGTGCTGGTGACGATGTCCTAAACAGAAGATAACCAGGAGCCCCACTTAGACCACCAAGAGACTCCTTTAATCCTCCCAAAGGACAACCACCTTGTCAAGGGCTTCCAGTGCTCGGCCAACCCAAACAGCCTGTGCCACCTCAAAGGCCCCACCCTGCTGACCTCCAGGAAATCCTTTCTTTCTACCAGTGGGGCGGTCTAGTTTTGTGGTCTCACTGTACCCCAAACACAAACTTGTGGAGGCCCCTGCTGGCTTGTGGGGGCTGATTCTCTTCTCCTTGCTTTTGTGGGACCTGGGGTCTTGTACTCGGGTCTTTAGGCTTGGCAGCAACCACTTCACCCACCCATCTTTCCCCACCAATCTTCGTGCGTCCACCGTCAAGAAACACTTTACCCTTGAGACCTTCAAAGGCATTTAAGAGAAGATCGGTGTATCGACCACTTAGTTTGAACAGCTAACCTCCTGCCAGGCTCCTTTTTTCTCTGCTTCCACCCACTCTTTCTCCTTGGGCTGTTTGAGGCAAAGGTCAGACATGAGACTTCCTGTTCATAACAATGCAGGACTTTTCATGCCGTGTCCAGGGTGGAGGGAAGGCAACTTCATGGCCCAGCTGTGGTGCTGTACATCGGCCATGCCAGCACTTTGGAGGTCGAAGCGGGAGGGTCAGAAGTTCATGTTCATCCACTGGTGTAAATATGTAATTCAAGGCCAGTTCAGGCTCCGTGAAACCATCTTTAAAGATCAGGGGGTGGAGAGCTGGCTCAGGTGTTAAGAGCATGTACAGCTCTTGCAGAGGACTGCAGTTCAGTTCCCAGCGCCCATGTCCACCTCTAAGGGCTTAGAACTACCTGTAAGTCCAGCCCAGCTCTTGGAGGTCTGATGCCCTCTTTTGGCCTCTTCAGGCACTGCACTTACCAAACAAATTTTAGCTAGTTGTGATGACTCAGGGCTTTTTTTAATCCCAGAACTCAGGAGGCAGAGGCAAGTGGATCCCTATGAGTCTGAGGCCAGCTGGTCTACAGAATGAGTTCCAGGGCAGCCAAGGCTGCATAGTGAGATCCTATCTCAAAAGAAAAATCTTAAATTTTTTTGTATAAAATAAAACAAATAGTAGCAAAGTGTAAACACTGGCCAGTTTCCCTTTCTAATTCCCCAGTTCTCTTCCCAGAAACAGTCCTTGTCACTTCTGCAATTATTTCCTGGGTTCTCTTCTGGAGAAAAGAAATATACAGAGTTGAGAACATAGTGGGTAGAGCCGGGTATGGTGACTCACACCTGCAATCCCATCAGAGGATGAGGCAGGAGGATGTTGGCTTCAACCTGTCTGGAGTACATGAGAGTTTCAGGCCAGCCTGGGCTACATAGTGTCTTTTTTAGAAAGATGAAATGAAACAAGAACCAAAACGAAGAGTGGGAAAGAAAGAAGCCTAGGGCCGTTTGGGAAATTTCCAGAACTTGGTGGGAAGTGTAGTTCGGGAATTCACACCCACAAAAGGTCTTGGCTAAATAGCTGACTCAGTTTCCCCTATTCCACGTCTCAGAGAGAAGGTGTAGAAAGCCACCATCCTGACAGACCTAGCGTACATATCTTTATTGGCTTTTATTTCCAACTCTAGAGCCCAGTGACACCTCACTCCACAATGCAGAGAGGATGTCCGAGGGGCTGAGCAGAGAGATGGAGGAGGCTGGGGAACGCAGCCCAGAGGACAGAAAACAGACCGGCGTCACAATGGCTTTCCTTGAAATGTCCTATGCAGAGGAGACTTCTGGCTCACACAGGCCTACTGGGGATCTGGCCTGTGGTTCCTCACCAGATTTAAAGAAGGTGACTTTCAATTTGGTGTCTTGGAACCTTAGCCTTAGTGACCCCAGTTTGGTTTGGTGCATAGGGCTTACTACAGAGCTCAGCCCAAACTAACAGTCTCTTTCTCTCTTAAATTACTTCATTTTTAAGGTTAATTAGTTAATTTGTTTGTTTGTTTTTTTAAGACAGGGTTTCCCTATGGAGCCCTAGCTGTCGTGGAACTTGCTTTGTAGACCTGGCCTGGCCCTGAACTCAGAACTCAGAGATCGCCTGCCACTGCCTCCCACGTGCTGTATGTTATGTTTTACCTGCATGTATGTCCATGCACTGTGTGCATGCCTAGCACCTGCAGAGGCCAGAAGAGGGTGTTGGATCCCCTGGAACTGGAGTTTTAGACAGTTGTGAATTGCCATGTAGGTGCTGGGAATGGGAGAGTTCTTGCCAGGCATGCAAGAAGGCCTGGGATCCTTCTCCAGCACCCCATGGGCGTGGTCATGTGTGCCTGTAATCCCAGCTCTGGGGCGGTGGAGGCAATGGGATCACAGATTCAGGACTGTCTTTGGCTGGCTATGGAGGGAGTTCCAAGCCAGCTTGGGCTTCATGAGACCCTGTGTCAAAAACAAAACAAACCAGTACACAATTTAGTCAATACAAAAACACACTTCTCACTGTTTATTCTGGAGCCAAATTCGAGTGTCCCCGACTGGGGACACAGATTCAGATCAAGGCTTTGCATAAACGCGTGTTCTGATACTGTGACAGATCCGTGAAGTTTTTGTTTGTTTGCCGGATGGTTGGTTGACTTCTCTGTGTAGCCCTGGCTGTCCTGGAAATTGCTCTGTAAACCAGGCTGGCCTCAACCTCTCCAAGATTAGCCTGGCTCTGTCTCTCCAGATCTTCCATGAAGTTTTATAAAGAGAACAAAAGAAGCTGGGCAGTGGCGGTACACACCTTTAATTTCAGCACTTGGGAGGCAGAGGCAGGTGGGTCTTTGTGAGTTCAAGTCCAACCTGGTCTACAGAGCTAGTTCTAGGACAGCCAGGGCTACACAGAGAAACCCTGTCTCGAAAAACTAAAAAAGCAGAGAACAAAGGAAACCATAAATCAAGACTCCCCTAAAATCTCTTGATGGACACATTAGGTAAGTAGAGTCCAGGAAAGTGAGTCTCAGTCACAGGCCTCAGGTGCTGCCCGATGTCTCGGCCTTTGGGTTAGTGGAAGCTAGTTTTACATGCCTAAATATTTACCTAAGAGTCACAAAAATGATAGGTCACACACCTGGGTGGCCATAAATGGCAATGGAGGTTAAAGATTGGCTCAAGATAACAGGTCTGGGGGCTGGAGAAATGGCTCAGAGGTTAAGAGCATTGCCTTCTCTTCCAAAGGGCCTGAGTTCAATTCCCAGCAACCACATGGTGCTCACAACCATCTGTAAAGAGGTCTGGTGCCCTCTCCCGGCCTGCAGGCATACACACAGACAGAATATTGTATATATAATAAATAAGTAAAATAAATAAATAAATAAAAGATAACAGGTCTGGATTTGCAACATTTTAAACTCTCTACTATCTTTGAATCAGTCTGTGGTCCAGAAGGCCTGGAGGGATTCCGCAGTCTGAAACAAGATGAGTACAGCTGCCCGTGCTTATTATTTTAGACTAGAAAGGGAGAGGCAGGATGGTAGATGTGCAGTGAGAGCCTGCCTCCAAAAAGACCAAAATGAAACAACATCGGGAATAGTTCAGACAAAATAGTACAGTTATTATAACATGACTGATACATATGAATTGCTGACATAGTATTTTCTCAACGTTTGTTACAACGAAAATATTTTTTTAGGGGGCTGGAGAGATGGCTCAGTGGCTAAGAGCATTGCCTGCTCTTCCAAAGGTCCTGAGTTCAATTCCCAGCAACCACATGGTGGCTCACAACCATCTGTAATGAGATCTGGTGCCCTCTTCTGGCCTGCAGGCATACATGCAGACAGAACATTGTAAACATAATAAAATAAATAAATATATAAAAAAAAATATTTTTAAAGAGTTGGTCTGGTTAATTTCAGAATGTGGTGATTTTTTATTTGCAACATTTAAAAATAAGTTAAAGTTGTTTTTAATAATGAAGTTTAATAATAAACCTATTATTAAATAATCACAGCACTTGAGAAGCAGATGCAGGGGCAGACAGATTCTATGGGTTCAAGGCAGCCTGGTCTACTTGGTGAGTTTCAAGACAGCTACGACTACCTAGTGAGGCCCTATCCTTCCCATGTTTCCCCCAAAAGATTTATTTTTACTCTTAATTACGTCTCTGTGTGGGTATGTGCATGTGAGTGCAGTGCCTGCAGAGGCCAGAAGAGGGAGTCAGAGTTCTTGAAGCTGGAGTTGCAGGTGGCTGTGAGCTGGAAACCAAGCTCTGCAAGAGCAACACTCAGTCTTAACTGCTGAGCCGAGTCTTGGGGCCCCAAAATGAAGAGATATTTTAAAACATAATCACAGAGGCCCTTGAGAATCATGACTGTGCTCAAAGTCGGTTTTTTCCCCAGAGAAGTCCCTTGATGGTCAGTGACAGACTTTAAAGAGGAAGTCATCACCAGAGGAACTGAAACAGAAGCAGGAGATGACAAGGGACCATGTTGGGGACAGGGAGGTGAGGTCTTGAGCTGAACCAGAGGCAGCTGGTAGGGAGGGGATTTCTCCAAGACCAGCATTCCCCAGTAGGTAGATCTTCTGAAAACTTAACACAGGGCCAAGGAGCAGGATCATCACTGCTAGGTGAATGGAGTGGGGGAGGGCTCCAGGGGCGGGGAGTGGGGGAGGGAGGGCTCCAGGGGTGGGGAGTGGGGAGGGAGGGCTCCAGGTGAGTGGGGAGGAAGGGCTCCAGGGGTGGGGAGGGGGGAGGGAGGGCTCTAGGGGTGGGGAGGGAGGGCTCTAGGGGTGGGGAGTGGGGGAGGGAGGTCTCCAGGGGCAGGGAGTGGGGAGGAGGGCTCCAGGGGCAGTGTGGAGCACAGATCTACTACACACACCAGGGTCTGTATAGGA